AAATCATGATCACAGAGGATCTAAGAAGAGGGTCGAGTTTCCAAACAGAGTAAAAGGGGGATTGATCAAATTTCCCACATCTGGGAGCTGGGGTGAGGAATGTAGGGAAAGCCCTGCTGATTATTTATGGGAAGCAGATGATAGACACAGTGATAACTAAGAACCCGGATTCCGGAGTCCAATGTCTACTGGTAAGTCTCCGATCCGTAACCTGTAGCTGTGGGACTCTCAGTGACTTAAGGCTTCGGTTGTCTAATCTGTGCAACACCTACCCTCTGCCTCCTGGTGCAGGAACTCCGGGCACAGTGGGCGTGTCAGTACAGTCAATGGGCCCTCAGAGTGTGGGTGGGGGTGGAGTGCAGGGACTGGTCACTCTTCAAGGCACCATACTTCTCTGGGGACGAGGTCCTCCAGCAAGGCTTCTGGAACCCTCCGAGGCCCTGGGGATGTGGTTGTCTGGGTTTGCCATCCAACCCCTCCCTCTTAGAGAGGAATGCTCAGGTTAGGTGGAAAGAGGCCTTCGGGGAAGTAAACCCACTACGAAGCTTAGAGATGTGGAGAAGCCTTAAAGAGAGACCCAGAGAAATTCAGGGGATCAGTGTTACAAATTTATTTTGGGATGAGAGCATGAGTAAGATTGGGCCCATTCTTTGTACCTTGAACTAAAGTTACAAATATTTAAAATGACTGTTTAACACATGAGTTTTGCAGGAAATTGCATAGATAGGTATCTCACCTTGAACACAGTTATATACATATCCGATTAAAATATCATCTGATTATTACCTTCTGCACATGTAGTTTTGAAATTGTTTTTAAAATATAGAACACATAGATTGCAAGTGTCTATGTGTCACCATATATGTACAGTATATCTTCAGAGATTTTACATGGTTGTAATTATATACACAGTTTCAAAAGCTTATCTTTTACATTATCCATCAATTATCTGATCTAATGAAGAGGGAATATACTAATTGGCCATCACAAAGATGGCAGTGCCCACAGCCAATAAGAAGGAAATATGCTAATTGACTGCCACACCCTCAAAGATGGCAGTGCCCACAGCCACAAGATGGTGACACCCAGTTCCCTCAGCCCCCCAGTTGCGCAGGGCCGGCCTGGCCTGAGGCACAGGCAAGCCGTGGAAGCTGGCTGCCCAGACGCCCCAGGCTGCTTGAGGCTCAGGTAACCAGGGCCGGCCAAGGCTTGTGCTGCCAGCAGTGGCAGCAGTAGAGGTGTGATGGGGGCATTGCCTTTCCGATTGCTGGGTCACCTCCCGCCCCTGAGGGCTCCCGGACTGTGAGAGGGGGCAGACGGGCTGAGGGACACCCATCCAGTGCATGGGCCTCTAGTGAAGATATAATTAGCAATGATTCCCAGGTAGCTGAAATGGAAGACAGCCTTCAGTTTGCAGTACAGCTATTTCTTGTGAAACCTATCATACTTTAGGGCTGTAAACTTTTATCTTAGGATTCACAAAATTTCATATAAAAATAAAAAATCCAGAATGTGTGGCAGATTGTGTTCCCAAATATATGGCATCCTCTTTGTATGTAGTGATAGAAGGGTAGCTGGTGTATGGTTACAGTGCACGGTCACATGCTTAGGCCCCTTTGCTGCTGGCTGTGGCCTGTGGGATGTCGTCAAAGGGGCAGGCGCCATGTCTAGGTCTTCCTCTTGGCGGAACTGAGACTCCCGCACCTTTGTGGTCTTGCTGGTGGCGGGAGCCACTGCAGTCCCAGTGTTGGAGATGGCAGAGGCATTTCTCTGTGCCTGGACTGACCACATCCTCTCCCACACACTCAGGGTAATGGCCTGAACTCGGACCCAGTGGTTCAGCCATTGCCCTAGGCCAGTGGTCAGCAAACTCATCAGTCAACAGAGCCAAATATCAACAGGACAACGATTGAAATTTCTTTGGAGAGCCTCATTTTTTACACTTAAACTTTTTCTAACACCACTTCTTCAAAATAGACTTGCCCAGGCCGTGGTATTTTGTGGAAGAGCCACTCAAGGGGAGCCACATGTGGCTGGAGAGCCACAGTTTGCCAACCATGGCCCTAACATGCTACTTTCTCCTTGATTGTTTCAGGCAAGACAGATTTAAAATATTTGCTAATTTTTTCAAAAAGTCCAGAGTTCTGCTTTCTTCTTCACACTGTCTTTGCTAAGCTATTTTGTCTTTCTGCTTGAGGCTGGCAACATGTTGATAAGTGTTTATTTCAACAGTGACACCTACGAACTCCTAAGCATTCTGCGCACAGAACTGCCGTTTAGGCTGCACACCAGGGGCTCAGTGTTGGCCATCCTAAAACACACACACATACACACACACACACACACACACACACACACACACACACACGAAATGTTCGATAGAAGGAAGCATTAGGAAAACATTAGGGTGTGGCAGGTTGAAAAGACTTGGCTGAGAGCTGGCTAGAGGGAAGGGTCCCCAAACCTGTGAACAGATGAGAGTAACAGTGTTGGATACGCCAAGCACCTCTGCCAAATGGGCACTCATGGTTTCTGGTTCACATTCTGTGGTCCTGGCTCACATCTTTTGTGAAGAGTAGAGAGGAGCTAAAGGGAATTACATTGTATTGGACACCTTCACATTTACTGAGAGGCTCTGCAAAATAGTGACGAAGAACGTGAGGAACTGGAGTCAGATATATCAGATATATTAGCTGTAGAGTTTGATAACTAACTTAATCTCAGGGTTCTCACTTGCAAAATGGGGATAGTAATACCACCTCCAAAGTTTTCTAAATATTAAATAAAATAGCATACCTAAACGTTAGAAACAGACTAAGAAGGAAGTTGCTAAATGGCATATCGTTCTCTATTCTGCTCTCATTTCCTGGTGCCTACTGCTTTACATATTTATCTCATCAATCCTCCAACACGGGCACAATCTTCCCCATGTTCCAGTGAAGTTAAAGAATTTGTGTGGAGAAAGAGATCTCATTCTAGCTATTTGTCGAATTTAGAAATGGAAGCATGGACTATTTAAGTAATTTATGGATGTCTCAAAGTGAAGCAACTATGGAGGCGGGATCCAAAGCCGTACCTGTTTATCCTGATATTTGGCAATTCTCAGTTGTCACTCCTGACAGATTGCAATGGCCATGGTGACTACACTAAATTTTAACAATCAATTTCCTCCAAACTCCAGGATATCGTCAAGACTACTTTTCCATCAGGCTCTATGCCCATCAAAACCATAGGCTGTTCTTACTCTGATTTCTATTTTTAAAAACATATTGTTATTGATTTCAGAGAGGAAGGAAGAGGGAGAGAGAGGAACATCAATGATGAGAGAGACTCATTAATCAGTTGCCTGTTGCATGCCCTCTACTGAGGATCGAGCCCACAACCTGGGCATGTGCCCTTGACTGGAATAGAACCGGGAACCCTTCAGTCTGCAGGCTGGTGCTCTATCCACTGAGCCAAACTGGCCAGGCTTACTATGATTTTTAAATATGACCCGTACGATCGATGATTATCTTTCTGAAGTTGTCCTTGTTGATTGCAAGTATTTTCTGAGATTATGTTATTTTAAATAGCACTGTCAGGTGATCTGTAACTCCTTTATTTGAATTTACAATCTACAAAGATATCAAAAACAATTAGCAACTAAAACAAGTGAACATTAATTATTTATAATAATTGCAATAGTTGAGCTATAAATAAAATTGTTTCCTAGCAGTTAAAGTGAACATGATTATCAGACAAGGTAAAAGGTACAAGAGGAAGCAAAGTTTCCCTTCTCCCAAACTACAAAATAAATTTACAAGTGTCATTTTACAGAAGATAGAATCAAAAGAGCCCTCAACAACATTCCGCAGCAGATGCTGTACACCTGAAACTAAAACAAAATAATTCTGAGTGTAAACTGCAATTGAAAAATAAAATTAACAAAACACAAAAAATGTAGTCAATGTGAAACAGCAGAAATTTGTGTGGCAGTGGAGGATACTCAAAGCAGCATATTTTTAAAAAATTTTATTTTATTATTTAAAGTATAACAAATAGTAGTACTTATATCTCCTACCCCCAATGACCTTCCCCCAGCCTCTCCTACCCCCCACATGCCCGCACCCCCCCCCCCCCCCGTCTTGTGTCCATTGTGCTTATATGCATGCATACATGTTCTTGGATTGATCTCTTCACCCCCTCCCCAAAACTCCCAGCTTTCCCGCTGTAATTTGACAGACTGTTCAGTGCTTCACTGCCTCGGTATCTATCTTTTTATTCATTAGGTTATAATGTTCTTTATTTTCCATAAATGAGTGAGTTCATGCGGTATTTTTCTTTCATAAAGCAGCACAGTTTTCAAACAATATTCCTAAACACACCTTTTCTCGGTTGGGATTGATAAAAGGTGGGCAGGAGAAAACCCTAAGCTTTGAGCACCTACACACTACATTGATTGATACATCGATTGGTTGAGGACGACCCATCTGCTCCAAGTCCCACCTCAGCGTGCGGTTTGGCTGCGCCCCTCCGTTGCAGTGACGGCGCCTCCCGGACCCCCGGAGCAGGGCTAAGGACGCCCGCGGTCCGGACTCCGGGGAGCAGCACCGCGGCCGTCCCAGGCAGTTTAACGGGGACGCGGGGCTCCCAATGCGCTGGTGAGCCGGGCCCAGCCGAGCGGAGTCCCCCGCCCCGGACCCCGCACAGCCCCGGAGCGCCGGGCGGAGGCGCCCGCGGGGAGCCCCCTGCCCTTGCCGCAGCGGGACCGCGGCTCTCCGGGTCTCCGCGGAGGAGCCTTCCCCTCCAGGTTCCCCCGAGGCCGGGGGGGCGGGTCCGGACCGCTTTCACGGCCGGGGCGGGGCGGGGGCGGGGCCATGCGGGGGCGGGGCGTAGCGCGCGCGGCTATTGGGTCCGGGCAGCAGCGGACTGGAGAGGGGCGGGGCCAGGAGGGGCGGGGCGGGGCCGGGCGCCGGCGGGGGTGGGACCGCCGCCTCCGGCCCACGCCGTAAACAGACAACATGGCGGCGGCGGCGGCGGCACCGGGGGCTCTGGGCGCCTGGCAGGCCGGCCGCGCCCGCCTGGTGGCCGCTGGCTGTGCGCCACTCGGCCCTCGGTGGACGCTGCCCGGCTCCCTGGCGGGCCAGCGGCTGGGGCCGGCCATCCGGGCCCGGGGCTGGGCGCCCGCGGCCGGGGGGCTGCCCTCGCGGCGGGGCTACAGCTCCGAGGTGAAGACGGACGACGAGCTGCGGGTACGGTACCTGGAGGAGGAGAACCGAGGTGCGTGGCGGCGTGCGGGGCGGACGTCCTTGTCGCCGAGCGGCGGGCGGGGGCCCCGCGGCCAGCACGGGGCGGTCCGGCGCCCGGGAGCTGCGCGCCGCCCGCCCGGGATGCGGCCTCGCGGGGCGGACGGCGCTCACGCCCGGTCCCCAGACCTCCGCCGCGAAGGTCAACGCCGTGTGTGACGTCTGCTTCCCGGTTCTGCCCTCGCTCTGGAGCGCTTCCTGTGGCCGCGGGTCCGGCGCGTTCCGAGGCGCCGGTGAGAACGCACGGGGCGCCCCGAGAATCGACACAGAAAGCTCTGCGGCCGGAACCGCTCCCGGCCGTTACCCAGGAGGCCAGCGGGGTTATTCCTCAGCCACACGGGGCTGAACACGCTTTGCCTTCCGGGCACCGTGCTGAGCTCGGGGCCGGCGTGGGCGACCCGTGTTGCCCTTGAGTCGCCTCCTGCGGGCGGAGACAGCTGTGCCGCCGGCGGGCGGAGGTGGTGAGGACGGGCCGGCGGAGCTCCCGTTGAAGCTGCTGCTCTCACCGGCCGCGCGGGGGAATCTTAGGGTCTGGAAAGGGTAGAAGCAGTTTGCCATAGGACACCATTTAATTAACGCGCAATTAAGCGCCTAGAGTCTCTGATGCAGAAGTACAAAGCCAAGCCAAGCCACAGCTGCTGTTTTCAGCAGCGCCGGTGCGGGGAGTGAGCAGCCGGGCGGTGAGGGCGCGGGCTGTACACCCCGGGGGGCGGGGGGTGACCGTTATGTGCAGCTGGAGGACTTGCGGGGACACTGAGGGGTTGGTAGGGTTTTGCCAGATGACACGGTCTCCACGGCGTTCCTTCCGAGGCAATGGAACTGGACATTCGGACATTCGGGAGGGTTCGGAGGCAGACGGCTCTGCGCCTCAGCCTTCTTGTGTATAAAAGAGGAAAAAATAGTACCAACTTCGTAGGCGGCTGAGAAGACTCAATGGTGATGCAGACTGCCCACCGAGGACCTGGCGGCCAGCAGCTGCTCGGAGTGTGCTATCGCAGACAGAGACAGGCGGGGAATGCGGACGGGAGCGGTGGGGTGTGAGGAAGCCTGGCTGCAGTGCGGCATGAGGGGCCGGGCCGGGGGTTTAGGTCAGCCTAGTCTCTGGAGTGGCCGCTCCTTTAGGTGTAGCAGCGGTGCATTCGATCCAAAAGGAGTGCGTGTGAAGTTAGTAATACGCACCATGTTCTATATTTCTTCATCTTTATGACTTTACAAATTCACATTGAAAGTGAGTTTTCATAAAATGCCTGGAAACTCCATAAGTTAGGGTCCAAATGGATTAAAGAGAAGAAATGAGAGCATACAAGACAACTTAGTAATTAAGATATTTTAGTTACCTCAGATAACTGTAAAATCAGGTCTTAGGACATCATGGTTTCTTAAGAAAATTGACCCAGTTTCCTCGAGGGATGGGCAAGAATGACAGCTCAGGCTTCGGAGAGTCTGCTCCGCCTTACTCTCCAACCAGCAGTGCCCGGAACGCAGGGGGCCAGGACCGCGGGGCGAGGCTCCGGGTCCGGGCCGCTGCTTCTCAGAGCGGCTAGTCCAGACTGGCTCTCCGAACCCTCCGTATGGGGAGCCCGGACTGCTGCCTGTCCAGCCCGCCTCTAGGCTGGGGGGGGGGGGGGGTAGTGCAGAATACATCAGCCCTCATCCGTTATCTAATTTGTCTCATACTCTCTTTGTTGTGGAGGCACAAGGCATACACACGGCTTCTTTAGTGGTTATTGCTGGCATTGCTGCCCCACCTTCTTAGTCCTGGTCATGGTTTACAAAGGTCTCTCTTGGTCTTGGGCAACAGCCTCCTTTATAAGTCAACAGATCATTCTCTTCCCAGTGCATTCTTTACACTGGTGCTGGAGTTACCTTTTTTGAAGGCCAAGGATCAACTCTGCTCAGGTAAACACCGCTAGTGGCTCCCATTGCCTGCAGGTCCTCACAGCCCACAGGCCTTCCCCGCGCCTCCTCTCCCTGCAGCTGCAGCTGCAGCTGAGCTTTGTTCTTTTCTGCTTTTCTCTCAAATGGAATGACCTCTCCATTCCCTTACCAACCATTTCCCCGTCTGTCACGCTTCTCCTTATCGTTGTGACCCATTTCAAAGATCATGTTTGAGAACCTTATTGGACCAATCCTGGCAGAAACAGCAAACAAGTAAACGCAAATCACTCTTGATACCTGCTTCTCCTCATTCACCTCTAGATGTTCAAGTTTTCCTGAGTGTTTTTGAAAGCTTTCTACTGTTCTCTCTGTTCTTCTTTATCAATACCTCTCTTGTCCAAGCCAGCATCGTCTCTCAGGTGGATTATTGCAGAGGCCTAATGTTTTTCTATTTTGGCATGTGAATTATGTAATTATATATGTAGCTATATTTAATTACATAATCATATATGTTAATTATATAATTCAGATGCCATAAAATTCAAAATGTAGACTTTTTAGTGTATTTACAGAGTTGTGCAAGCATCACCTCAATCCAGATTTAGAACATTTTTATCAATGCAAAAAGAAACCCTGTTCTCTTTAGCATGACTTGACTTCCCGTTGTCTCAGTCCTGCTGCCCCACAAATAAGACCCATTTGTCTATTCTGACATTTCATATAAAGAAATCATATAATATGTGTGTTTTGTATGTGGCTTCTTTAACTTTATGTTTTCAAAGTTCATCCATGTTATATATAGTACTTCATTTCTTTTTCTGGCTGAATAATATTTAATTGTATGGATCTATCACATTTTATCTTTTTAAAAAATTTATTTCATAGAGGAAGGGAGAGGGAGAAAGAAATAGAAACATCAACGATGAGAGAGAATCATTGATCGGCTGCCACCTGCACACTCCCTACTGGGGATTGAGCAGGCAACCAGGGCATGTGCCCTTGACGGGAATTGAACCTGGGATCCTTCATTCAGTAGGCGTACGCTCTATCCACTGAGCAAACCAGCTAGAACTATCACATTTTATCTGTTAGCATTGATGTACATTTGAGTTGTTGCCATTTAGTGGGTAAGTGAGCAGTGCTGCTTAGAATATTCATGTACACATTTTTGTGAACATCTGTTTTCATTAGAAGTGGAATTGCTGGATCACACGGTAATTCTATGATTTAACATTTTAAGGAACTGTGGAACTTTTCCAAAGTGGCTGCAGCAATTTACATTCCCACTAGTGAGGTATGAGGGCTCCAATTTCTTCACATTCTGACCAACACTTGTTATTGTTTGTATTTTTTATTACATTTGGTGCCTGTAAAATGATGTTGTGACTTTGATTCGATAGCCTAATGGTTAGTGATTTGGAATCTTTTCATGTGCTTATGGCCATGTGTGTATCTTTTTTAGAGAAGTGTCTCAAATCCTTTTCCCATTTGTAACTGGTTTGTTTGTCCTTTTATTGTTGAATTACGAGAGTTCTTTATTCTGGATGCAAATTTTGTATTAGATAATTGATTTGCAAATGTTTTCTCCTATTTTGTGGGTTGTCTTTTCATTTTCTTTTTTTAAAGCCTCATCTGAGGATATATTTATTGATTTTATTTATTTATTTATTTAAAATATATTTTATTGATTTTGTACAGAGAGGAAGGGAGAGAGATAGAGAGTTAGAAACATCGATGAGAAAGAGTCATCGATCAGCTGCCTCTTGCACACCCCCTACTGGGGATGTGCCCACAACCAAGGTACATGCCCTTGACCGGAATCGAACCCAGGACCCTTCAATCCCCAAGCCGACGCTCTATCCATTGAGCCAAACCGGTCTCGGCTATTTATTGATTTTAGAGAGAGAAGAAAGGCAGGGATAGAGAGAGCGAGAGCGAGAGAGAGAGAGAGCTGAGAAGCCGATTGGTTACCTTCCATATGCCCCCACAACTGGGGATCGAACATACAACCAAGGTCTGTACCCTGATCAGGAATGGGATCTGAAACTTTTTGGGGTGTGGAATGGTGCTCCAACCAACTGAGCCACCTGGCTAGGGCTCTTTTCTTTTTACTTTCTTAATAGTTTATTTTGAAGAACCCAGGTTTTTAGTTTTGATGTAGTTCAGCTTATGTATTTGTTTCTTTTGTTGCTGTGCTTTTGGGTCATATCTAAGAAACTTGCTTAAGCCAAGGCCACAAAGATTTATACCTGTTTTCTTCTAAGAGTTTTATGGTTTGGCTCTTATGTTTGTTCCTGTGATCCATGTTCAGTTAGTTTTTGCGATGTAAGAGGTTAACTTCATTATTTTGCTGTGGATAGACAGTGTCCCAGCACTATTTGTTCAAAAGATTGTTCTTTCACCACTGAATTGGCTTGGCACCCTTGTTAAAAATTGACTATAAATAAAAGTTTATTTATGGACTTTCAGTTCTGTCTCATTTATGTACGTGTCTGTCTTTATGCTGGTACCATACTGTTTGATTTCAGTATCTATATACTAACATTTGATTTAGATAGTCTGAGTCCTCCAATTTTTGTTCTTTTCAAACTATTCTGTCTATTCTGGACTCTCTCATTACCACAAGAATTATAGGATCAGCTTGTGAATTTCTTAAAGAAAGTAAACTAGAATTTCAATAAGAATTGAACATCGATTTGGGGAATATTGCCATTTAGCAGTGTTATGTTTTCCTGTCCATGAACATGGGATGTTTTGTAGTTTTCAGTGTACAAAGCTTCATATGTTAAATTTACTCCTATTTTATTTTCTTTGGATGCTATTGTAAATGGAATTGTTTTCTTAGTTTCATTTTCAGATTGTTTACTGCTGTTGTAATACAATTATTTTTGTATGTTGATCTTATATCATGCAACTTTGCTGAACTTGCTTATTCTCATAGTTTTTTTAAAGCAGATTTCTTAATATTTACTATATACAGATCATGTAATCTGCAAATAGGAGTAATTTTACTTATTTTCCAATCTGGCTGTCTTTTCTTTCTCATTTCTAATCTCTCTGGTTAAAGCCTCCATGTTTTATACTAATATTGGTCAT